TGATCTTGTTTAGTTGTAGAATTTGGAGGAGGGCATTAAGTTTGGGGGAAGTTGACAATTATCCGCCCCCTCCCCCCCTCCCCCTCCCCCCAAAGCTCTGGTGGTGGAAATATCAACCAACATAGTTGGTAGGGGGGGGGGCGCCTACTACTAGTACTACTACTACTACTACTACGACTACTACTACTACTACTACTACTATATACTACTACTACAACATACTACTACTACTACTACTACTACTACTGCTACTACCAGCCGCCCCCCCCCTACCAACTATGTTCCCCTAAATATGAGGGGTGGGCTGTCAAGACCCTACGAGGAAGAAGGCAATGGTGGAACGTGCCTCACCCACACAAAATCATCAAAATGCTGTAAATGCCAATAGCTATTGCATGTCGCTCATCGAATTGACGTCACTATGCCCCCACGCCCCGAATCCCCACCCTACCCCACCCCACCTCCCGGCATCCGCACGCATTACGAAAATACAAAGCCTTTTGGCAGTCCACGAAAACCAACATTTCATCAGTTTTCACATGGTTTCAGCATGCACAGTTTGGGAAACATCGTTGGTAGGGGGTGCGGGGGGCGCCTCCTACTACTACTACTACTATTATTAGAACTATTTCCTGGCTTTTCTTTCGTGACAACCAACAATTCTTGCTAAACTCCAATCGTCAAGGAGGCCCCAGCCGGGTTGGGGGCTAGGGGATGTACTGAGTGGTTTCCATTGGGTCCTTCTCCTTCTTTTGCTTCCGCTTCCCTTCAGGCCTCGTGCAAACTGCGCAGGAACTGTTTTCATGCAATCTTTCCATGGGCTTGGGGCGGCTTGACCTGGTAGAAGGCATCTTCCAGCATTATCTCGAGCCTCAATTTGAAGCCAAAAGGTCCACCTTCCCTCAGTAATGGATCCCTTGGTCCCACCTCATGGGCAGAGATTTTGCCTTTGCCAGGCGGAGCCTGATCAACGCAAAGATCAGGCCGCCACTGCATGACTGACGCCCGCAATGATGCAATATTGAAGCAAACAACTAAGGTCTGAACATGCGCTCGAGCAGGTTGTCTGTTCTCATGGCCTGGCAAAACCCCAGTACAAATTATTCCGCAGACATGCCCTCGATGAGGCATGGTATATTTCGACTTGACATGTGCAGCCATTTGCTTTGCCAAGCTCCTGATCTTGATTACTAAGCCTCTCACCGTCTCGGGCTTGTACAGCAAGTAGCGGCCACAGGACCTCATCATCTTCAACATGAAACGCGGGGACTTGCGGAAGCACAGCGCGGCCAAGCGCCAAGCTGCAGCAGGTTTGCACAAAGCTCGGCATTTTGCTGAGTGAAATCGTCGCAGAGTGTCTGTAGCAGCGACCGCCAACAAGCACAGCGAGCTCGCAACAACGCACTTGCCAACTTTGCCTTCAGCACGTCCAAAATGACACCAGGAGGGCAAATCTTGAACCTTGATATCAAAAAGCTTTATCTTGGAGAAGTCATCCATCAGCAAGCCAAAGCTGACTAGGCAAACTGCTTGCACAGCTCACACAGGTACTTGACCACCTTCACCTTGTCTGAATCTTTTTTCTCAAGGCTATCTCTGGCTGATCAGCAGGCCTTCTGCTCAAGCAAATTCTGATTCGCATCCCCGATGACCTCCACAAGAAACGCATGACACAGCTGAATTCACGACACAACGTTCCCAACATGTCTCAAGCGGCTTTAGCCTGCTCCAGGTCGTGCTGAAGCCAAGCCATCAGCTGCTGCGGGATGTCTTTGATGTATGGCCTGAGGTATTGCCCCGGGTGTTCCACATGCCTCGTCCTGCCCTTTACTTCCATCATGCTAGGATCCCGGCCCCATCATGGCAACTATTCGCGCATATGGCGCGAGCAAATGAAGCCTGCTGTGAATGCCGCGGCAGTCTGCATGCAATCCAAATCGGGACTGAGTCATGGACTGCTTGGTCTTGTGCACCTGATGCAGTTTTCATTGCAAACTGCCCTCCGCCGCTCTGCACAGGAAGCCAGTTCAGGCTGTGGCCCCATAGAAATGTGCCTTCAGCTGCCACGGGCAAGGAGTCTTCAGCATGCTTGCCCACGACACTTTCATCATGTCTTAGGGAGCAGCTGCTAGGCGCTGTCGATTGGCTTTGGTGTTGAAGTCGTGAAAAAATCTCGGGCATGAAAGAAGATCGTGGGAGACTGAAGCCCATGCACGATCTTAAACCGCATTGCACAGCGACAAGAAATTGAGTGGCACACTCAACCACGATGTCATCCACCTTGCTCAGTCGTGCCACAGACGTGGCAGTCTTGTCAGCTACTCATACGCATTTCACTAACCTTTTCGGAAACGCAGCACATGACCCGCACTTCTGCCATTCCTAGCCTGCTTGGCCGACTCGGCTTTGGAGACACGCATAAGGTACAAATCGAAGTCCTTAGCTTGGTTCTAATCTGTGCTGTGGCGGAGATGAACTGCTAAGTTTGCAATGCGCGTTGTTTTGTGTCTTTGTGTATGAGTTGTGTGTCTTTTTTGTGGCGGGGGCTGGGGGATGCCCAACATGTGACGACACAGAAATTTGGGGGCACTCCAAGTCAAAGCTCAACTTCTCGTCTAAATATTGAGCAAACAGTACGGGAGAGCTAAGTTTAAAAAGGATGCGAGGATGCTCCACGTGAGAGCTCAATCTGATGTCAAGATGCTCCAAGTGAGAACTCAATCTGTGAGGATGCTCCCTGCCAGAGCTCAATCAAAATAACGAAAATCAGAAGAACAACAGTGAAAACAAGGACAATAAGTATGATACGAACAATCATCATACTAAGTCACGATAGTGATAGTAATAAGCAAACTGCAGCACCAAAATCCTTATAACAATATGGACCGGAACTGAACATACGAATTATAGGAAGCAACAATATTTGTAATGATGATAACAAGAACTGTCAAACAGTAAAACCGATGATAATGCAGCAGTATTGACAACCATGAAGACCATGACGACAGTCGCAAGGAAAGTCCCACTAGTCACTAGTATTGAAGGTGATACAAGTGATCGTCACAAAAGAGTTGTCAGAAGAATAGCAGCACTCATAAAAGTACTAATTGTTGTTGCGTAATAATGATAACAATACCCGTGATCGTCCTTTTTCCTGGCGAAACAGCGATAACATGAATGTGGCGAACCAGTATAACAATAATTGCAATGTAGGTCGCTGTAAGAAAATGCCACGATCAAAAACAAGGTAATCGCAGTAATCAATCGAAAGAATACTGTGAAGAACAGCAATAGTGACGCGGCTAGTCGGAGCAGACATAGCAGTAGCACTAGATGACGAGGAGCAACAGCAGCAAGCAGAGCTTTATTTGTAAAAAAAGGATCATGCTATCAAAGAGTGTTGGCGGCAACAACAAGGCATAATGGCATTGAAAGCTTTTGATGAAAGCTGCAATAATATCAGCCGCAGGAACAAAAACAGCATAAGAGCTTAGCCAGTGTAAGAGCGGCAACAATGGTCTTTGGCAGCAGTACACGTTGCGAGTAATGGAACTCGTACCAGCAATACAAAAAAAGTGGACAAATTGGAGCCAAAAAAAAGTAACAGCACAAAGAAATGCATCATGATTGCATGAACGATAAAAACTCATGGCACGAATCATTGTAATATATTGTAATTATGAACAGCCCAAGTAGGTTCTTGATGGATTCTAGACAGGACTGGCCGCGCAGTGCATTTGCTTAGGAAAAATTCGGAGCTGGGGGTATTGGCGGGGACGCAGCCCCCACTTTCACAACATGGACAAGAAATCACAAGAACGAGAACATGCATATGATTGCCAAGCTTGGTGTGATGTGCAAAGCCTCTCCGGGAAATAAACTGCAGGGGTTGGAGGTTCTTGCTGGATCCAGATCGGAATTGCCAGGCATTGTGTTTGTCTTCTTTTCAAACAGCAGGGGGTTGGGATGGGCGCAGCCCCCCGCTAAGCCTGGAGGCTTTAGGAGCCAGAAAGCAAGGAAAGCCGAGATCGCCAGAAGGCAACAAGCTCAAAAGCCAAGAATCCTGAAGGCCACCAAGCTTCAGAAGATTTCAGAAGCCAGGAAGCCAGGAAGCCACCGAAGAAAAGCGATGAAGTCATGGAAGCCAAGAAGCCGGACCAGGAAATCGTCCAAACGAGAGCGTTATTATATGTATGACGCAAGCCTCGTGATCAAGACCAGACGCCCCATGCGAGAGCTCAACGCCAGACCCCCGACAGATCTTGATTCGACAACGCTCTACAAGCAAAAAAGAAAATTGGCCCTCCATTTGCTATCCAATGATCTGAAGCTGCGGAGACATCCTTCTTGTCCTTTTCTTCAGGTGGCTTCTCCGGCTTTGCATCCTTGCATCTAATGTGCAAACGGCTGCCATGCCGACCCGGTTTAGGCTGCACAGTATATCAATTGGCTTGAATTTGGTGTCCTTCTCATCGCCTCCAGCATCCTGAGCTGCTTTGCCGGACGTCAGCAGCACTGCCGGGATGATGTCCTGGTGCCGACTCTCCAGCTAATTGAGGACATAAGCTAAATTGTTCCAACATCTACAGTTGCGTCTTGCAGCTCCTTGAGGTCAACGATGTCTTCGTAGAACTTCCGTTGCTCTGAATCCTAGCAGACAGGCCCGGGTAGCGTTCAGCTAGCCCTGCACCAAGGGCCCGCCTCAAAGATCAAGACCTCCTCTTCCTCTGGAGCTTCCTCCTGACATGCAGCAAGTCTGAGGGAGGCATCAGTGTAGTGCGGCGTGCTCAGAGCCACCTTTGAGTTTTCACCAGCTCCGATCCGCGACCTTACAGTGCCACCGCACGATGCACCAATAAGATTCAACCTCTATAAAGGTTCATAGCAGATGACGCTGGCATGCAATATCAATCAATCCCGGGGAGTTAGCACATTAGGCTCTTCCTCCTCCACCGTGGTTGGCATGGGCCTCAGCTGCCCCAACATTCATGGAGCTTGAAAGAGCTGCCGCCACTCTTCTGCCCTTCCCCTCTGAGCTCTTCTCTGATTCAGAAATTCCGACAACGTGGTGAGCGTGGCCTACAACCATTGACAGGATGGAGCAGGTGGCACTCGCAAAAGCCACTGTGCGGGCAGTAGAGCCTCAATCTTCTGCAAAGCCTCTTTGAGCTGTGTATGCTTCTGTTCATTCTCCGCATCCACCTTTCCCAGCAACATCTTGATATCTGCCAGCTGCAGTTGGTCAGGTTCTTGGCCTGGCCCTTGTCCACTCGCAAAGTTTGGTTCGTCTTCTCCTGTCACTCGGAAAATCAAAGTTGTGAGTACCACATGCGGAGCAAACAACCTGCTGCAAGAAACTATCACGACCAGTGGCCTGCTCTAGCAATCTACTGTGGGCACTTCTCAGAAGGCCCCCTGCGGCTGATTGGTATGCCTGAGCTTCATGGAGCAAGTGACCGTGACCCTGTTCAGAAATCATTCTTGCAAAGTCCTATCTTCACAATCTGCCCTCCAAGGTCATGACATTCACTGCAAGTTGTTGCAGCTGGTTTCGGGATGCCTGGCTTCGACGCAGGACGAACTACGACAAAATCAGCCGTGCCCTTGAAAAGGATGTACGGGAGCCATGGCCACCGATGGCCTCTTCCAGGACGCATTGCCGCTCTGGCCAGTCCTCTTTAATGGCATTTGAGTTGTGTAGGAAACGGGTGTGCCAGTATAGCAATGATGTGCGAATAGCTAAGAAACGTGCCGTCTAGCATACATGGTTAAGACACAAGGAAAACGTGAAATGCAACATGTGCTAGTATTCACGTTTCCTACACTGAGCTTGCTTGTTGGGCAGTGTAATATACAGAACATGACCAGCGGCATAGATACAAGCATATGCATACATGTTTGCACATAAACGTGTGAGCCGATGGCCTCTACAGTGGGAGATCCATTTCTATACTAAGCTATTAAACATTGTCATGGCCTTCTTCCCCCGCTCCTCCCCTTCTTATCGCTCTGGACACGGATTCCAACGTTGGCCCTGTGCGCCCGCTCCTCCCCTGCTCCTTGACTGCTATCCACCGCAGCCTTCCTCCCCGATTTCGCTCTCCGCTGGCCTTCATCCCGTGCTCCCCACCCTGCTATCCCTTCATCGCCTCCATCGCTTGCCTTCCTTCCATGCTACTGCTGGTATTCCCTGATAGCACACTCGGCCGCTGCCCGCTACCCTGCTCCTCTCCCAATATCTCTCTCCACCGCAGGCCTTCCTCCCCCGCTTTTCCCTGTTCCCTCTCCATCGCTGGCATTGCTCTCCATGGTCGCCGACATGGCTCGCACGCAGTTTGGCTCTAAACCAGAAACTAACCCCTGCGGAGCTTTGGGAATAAAGCATCACTTGCGACGAGTAATCCTACTTAGTGAAGACTTAGTGTTTCGCTCTGGGGTCACTCCTTGGGGCCGTTCAGGGTTAAGGGCCTCTTGACAGCTTTGGGCCGAGGCAGGCTGAGGGTATCGCGTTTAAGGTTTGGGGCTGTGGGTTTGGATTGTTTGTGTAAAGTTTAGGGTTCACGGCTTGGGGCTGTTTAGGGGTTGGGTTTTGGAGTTAAATGTACTTTTTGCTATGGCCATGCCCCCTCACTCCACACGCGCTTCGGCGCCAGCACAAAAGAGGGATCTCTCACAGCTGACTGGGTGTTATCATAGTGAAGATGTGGAGAGGTGTGGAGAGGTGTGAGGCTTCAGATTTGAAAAAAGCGTCCAGAGTAAATAAACCTCTATCCAATACGAGAGTTGCATACCCCTCGGCCGTCGATTCTTTTAAGGATGGGCGCTGTGAGAGTAAGGGCATCTAGTCATCTAGTCCGTAAATGAAGGACGGGACATCAAGATCAAGAGTTAGAAATGTAGGGATTGTAGTGGTTGCTTAGGATTTACGACTTGGAGTTGTTTGGGGGCTCAGGGCAGCTTAGGGTTGGTGGTCGTTTCGCGCCGGTTAGGGTTTGGGGTTCGTCATGTTTTTGGTCAAGGGCTTGGGCTTCTTACGGTTTAGGATTTGGGGTGGTTTGGGGTTGTTGGGGTTTGAAGGTTGTTCAGGGGTTGCGGCATGAGGCTGTTTCAGGGTTTGTGCATTGGTGTAGGGTTGCTTGCGGCTATCTAGGATTTAGGGTTGGTTTGCCGCTTGCATGGCTAGGACGGCATAGCAAGGTTCATTCCGTTTAGGGTTGGTCAGAGTTACGGGTTGTTCAGGGTTTACAGTTTGGGGTTGCGTAGCCATCAGCGTTTGCGGTTGTTTGTGGTGTAGGGTTGGGTATAGGATTTAGGACTTGGTGACTGCATACGGTTGCATGTTTTGGGCTGTTTGTTAGTTTAGGTTTGGGAGTTGTTCAGGGTTCAAGACTGTCTTTGGCGTAGAGCTTGGGCTTGTCTAGGGTTAAGCGTTCGGGCTTGTTCGGGTTTTTTGCTTGGGGTTGTTGAGTGTTTGTGACTGTTGAGCGTTTGCGGCTTAGAAGTTTAATTTAACAGCAAGCATCAACCTTTGAATGCAAAAGTTATCTGGTACTAGTAGCGGTCCTTTCCCAAGGCCTCCGCATACGCCTGCTGCTTTGCAGGGATGATGTTGAAGCCTGTCTTCGTGCAGCTTATCAGAGAGGAAGCCCAAGCATCTTTTCAGGTCTGGGATTCTGGCAGCTCACCGCATGCTTCTGTGCCAGCGACGAAATGATGGTGAAGTTCGTCACAAGCTGCAGGCATAAGCAGCTGCTCCAGACTATGCAACTCGGCGCGGGCAAGCCATGAATGTGGAGTTCGCCCTTTGTTTCCCGTGCATGCTGGCACGGCTTTCAGCCAGAGCAAGTCATGAGAAGCGTGTGCCTGCTCCTCCGCCACAGAAATATCACATAATCTGAGCACAAGATTCTTGGTGAAAAGCGTATGGTCAAGTCTTGTTGCACAAGTGCCCGGCTCTGTGAACATCTCTACTAGCGGAGGCTTCGCCGCTTGCACCTGAGAAGGCTTGCGGCGAGTTGCGCGCGTGGACCACTGGACCAAATGTTGCGTGACTGGGTCACACAATGCCAAGGCCGCAGCGCATTCTATGAGGCAGAGTTCTGCACACATGCCTGAGGTGATCATTTTGTTCGCTTTTAGCTGCGCTTCCCCACTTGCCATGCAACCAGGACGCGTAGCAAGAAGCGTCGCCGGTTGAGCTCCGCAGGCGGCGTTGAGCTAAAGGCCTGCAGCCGAAATCTCAACAAATGTAAAAAGATTGCTTGACTGAGCGCGCCTTCAAGAGACCCTTGCCCAGAAGAGAGCCAAACCTGCATGTCAATACAATTTTGCGCTTGCTTTTGGCGCTTGCTCCAAGAGCTTGCAAGGCTTCGGCTCTTCGTACGTTGCGTTGAGCTTACCTTCAGCATCGCGCGCTTCAAGGAAGTATTCAGGCCGATGGCAATTGCAGCTGGGTCGCTGCAAACTTTGCTGACCGCACTCAACTCCTTTGAAATACGGGCGCAGGAACGCGGTCATAAGTTGATCCAAGGCTGGAAGTTCCTCGCCTTCAGCTTCAAAGAGTTTCCGGCTGCTTCGAGGATGCACTCTGTCAGTTCCTGGGTCTGACCAATGGCAGAAATCGCCTGCTTTGGCCATGCCATTGAAGAAGCAATGAGTATGAGTCAGAACAACATTAACTAAAGGCAGCTTTACAGCCTCCACCCGAGAACAATGGCAGCACCACTGCAACTGCTAGACATGCACACGCCAAGTGGGTAGGGCATGTGATGGCGCATCCACGAAAACACAAGAGGCTCCGGCTGAAACATATTTTGAGGCGTCGACACCATCCTCGGCTGACGGGGAGGTCAAGGCGAGATCTAGAGCTGCGATGCGTCCCAAGTCCGCGTGGTGCATGGAACCATTGATTGGGGCCGCCACAATATCTTTCATGACAGCATCAATCTCAATCTCGCCTTTGAAAAGCTTTAACCTGCGACAGCTGCTTTGGCATTTGGTTGGATGCTTTCGGCAGACAGCCTGTTCTGAAACCGCGTAACTCTGGCGATGCTCTTGTCCCTACTCCTCAGTGCACCGATTTTTCAAGTTCAGACGCAGGTCAAAGATGGCACGCAGATTACATTTGGCATCATTTGGCGACAGTTTTCGTCGTTCAACAAGTTCACACTCACGGTTTCGAGAGGCTTTGTGTTGCTGCTCAGGAGTTTATATCTCTGCGCTTCGGGCACACAAGAAGAAGAAATTGGCCCAAAGTTGGCTAACACAGTTGTCAAGTCAAGCGCACACAGCTCGCTTTGCTGCCCTTTTTGACATGCAGTGCATTGCACTACTCGCAATGATGTTTCACTTCCACGCGCGAATGCAATATATGCAATGCAGGAGCATGCAACGCAGGAGGAGCATTTGAGCATTGCTCAAGGACGTAGAGCTGAGGTCGAGCGCCCTGTCATCTGCACGCCAGACGCCTGCTTAGGAAGAACAGCTGCAAATGCTTGTAACTTGCGACTGCGACAACTAGCATTTGTAGCAGGATGCCTTGGCTGCTCGATTGACCTTCCGCCTTAGGATAAGGAGGCGATGAGGAGGCTCAAAACTTTCGAACACAAGGACGGCAGCAAAAGAGGTTGCGGCAGTTCGACTCTGGCCAATTCATCCCGCCTCAGCTCATTGATCGCCAACTTGAATCTGTGGAAAGATGTGATCAGCATCGCACTCATCGTCTGCGTGTTTCTGTCGCGCTTCTTCCGCCCTTGGCAGCATTTTTGACAACCATAAGTCAACTGGAAAAGCTGAAGACAACAAACACCTGAACTGAGGCTTTGTCAACTTGGCTTTTGGATCTTCGACTTTCTCTGGAGTCTTGGCAGGCTCCTCGCCGCGTAGTCAATCCGTCTCTGAAGGCAAGTCTTGGCAGGCCAGCCGCGACCTTGCTATCCGTCTTTGGCTCAGTCTTTGTGGACTTGCCATCCTTCTGGCTGCTTGCCTGCAGCACGATTCTCATGTCATGTCGTTAGCGGTGCGGCACACAGCCAATGCAACTTGCCTTTCCCTTTTCTGCATCTTTCTTCGGCTCTGCCTCACAGCGAAACATCACAGCAAACCTGGCTGGTGCTCAGCAACCACTGGCCTTGGCACTCCCTGCCTTGCCCATTCCAAGGCCTCAGCACACCCATGCATCCTGTGTCGTCTGATCTCTCGCCAGAAATCCCGTAAGTCGCGAGCACGGAGCCCGTTCTGCAGACGTCTGCTAAGATGCCGCTATGAACTCGGGCGGGCTTGGGTTGTTGTGGCTGGGCTGCGTTGAAGAAAATCTTGCTGGCTGTTCTTCATGGCTGTGCTCGTTAGCACGAAGGGTTGTGGTTGGTAGGCTGCAAACATGCCTGGCTGACTTGAGTCAAAGGGCTCCCTTCGCTGGGCCGACTGTCCGCAGAACTGTCCACACGCCCCATGAGCTCATGCAACTTGCCATGCAACCGGTCTGATGTAGCAATGCAGAAGTTCAGGTGCGCAAGCCGCACTTGTTTTTTGCAGTACGAGCCAATATTCGTCTTTTCGAAACTGCTGTAGCTGTATCTTGAACCTCAGCCAGCAGCGGTTTCTTGCTGTATATTGCACTCTGCTTCACAGGCTGTGTTTGACTGGCCTCCCCAGAGAGGTGGCCAGCATCACAATTTCAGACCAAAGGGTGTCCTCAACATCTAGGAACAGGAAGATGGTGTCCGACTGCGCTGCCTCATTTCCAGTTTCAGCTTCCACCTAGCTCCCCTGATATGTGAAGGGAGGCCTCTAGCAGCGTTGGCAGCAGCCCGAAGTTGGTTGAGCGTAATGCTTCGACATTCTCATGCATTACCTCAGCATGCAAACACGCATTCAAGAGATGACATGCTACAGACACTCCGTAGGCTGGCACATACGAGAAGAGGAAGAGGTCTGTGTCGCCCGGAGCCGGCATTCCATCTGCCAGGGTCTTGCTGAGCAGCTGGCCTCGTGGTTGCAAAGGAAAAACAAACGGCTCTACATTGCTCAACCCCACCTTGATGGAAGTACAAATCCGTGCGGACACCGGTCAAGCTGCTCAAGCTGTTCTGCCTTTGCGGCATGCTTGCAGCCTTCGGATTCCCGTGCGAGTGGCAACTCAGCCAAGGCACCGCAGCACATTCTGAAGGCGAAGAAGAGTGCCGTACCATGCATTTTCACAGTCTACGACATGATGCTTCAGATGCACTGGCCATCCTTCCAGAGCAGCGTAGATGGAAAGTCCTGAGCCATCTTGTGGCTATGGATTCCTCGACGAATACATCGCGTCTCCCGTCCTAGTGCTGCTATGCCAGGACCTCCACCAATATCAACCACAACGCAAGACTCCTGGATGCGAAGCGCAGAGCTATTGCCAAGGTTTCCCACGTATCTCTGCGGCTCCTTCTCTTGAAGGCCACATGTGAAAGCTTCTGGGCCAAAAAGCACACAGGCCAGTTGGGCACATCGAGCTTTCTCAAAGACCTTGTTTCGGATGTATCCTGGCCGGTTGGCAGTACCAGCTGAACCGCTGTCCAACCTAGGACCTAGCGCCCCGTCCAGCATGGGCACCCAGGTCAGAATAGTCCGACTCTTCAGTGGGACGTCCGGACTTCCTCAGATCAGGTCCGCAGAAGCGCAAGAGACGAAACCAAAACGTAAGCATGCCGCAGCAAATAGAGAGGGGTCCTTCTGGCCACATGCCCATTTCATGAAGCAAGCTTCTTTAAGCTTTTTCGCAGCCTGCGCCAGTCACTGTACTGCGTCTGAGCGGGGAAGGATTCAAGCCATTGCCTCTGACGAGGGGCAGGCAGACAAAACGTGTCAAATCTCAAAATGATGTTTAGAATTGAGCTCAGACACCTGGTCAAATTCTTGGAAGCCTGCACATGTGCTCCGTACCAACTGATATCTTCGTCGTAAGTGTGCGTCAAGCAACGCCGCGAAGGCAATAAGAAGCCTGCGCACATGACAAGCACGGCGGACTGCCTCTCTTTGCAGTGGGCGGTCCTGAAGCCACAATATTGACCCGTCATTTACGGCCTCCATGTTCCAACACAGCCTGCCTTGTAGCAGGCCATTCCTTGGTCATGATTCCATGTGAGCCAAGCGAACTGCCAAGCACCGGGCGCCAGCAGCGTGTCTGGACAAATCCCAGCGTCAGCATCACTAGCGTAGTGCGCTAGCATTTTTGCAAATTGGCAGATGTCGACACGGAGGGAATGCTCCCGCATTCGTTGCAGCTGCTGCACCATGCAGGCAGCGGTGGACTTGTCTGCGATCTCCTGCAAGACTTCAACACTAAAAAAAAGAAGCTCGAAAACTGCCCGGCACCAGATTTTCTCAATGGCGTTCAGCTGTGCGGAATGTCTAGATGTGCTTCTAAAGCTACCTTATCCCGCACGCTGCTCTACCGATGGCACTAGGACTAGAATGCAAGAAATGCAAGCTCCCTCGCAGACCAGACGCTCTGCCTGATGGCATCACTAGAAAACGTGCAAATCAACTACAAAGGCGAGTTAACAGGATAGGACAAATATGTCGGGTCACCTGTGCAGCTGCGAAATATGTGAATGGCTCGCTCGGCACACCAGCTACTTCCATTCGATGCAGCAAGTGCAGACAGACCTGACCAAGCTTTGCGTGTCGCCAACACTCGATGGGGATTATGAAGCTGGAGCAGGCAAACAGGGCGGCCTCCCATTGTCCAGCACTGCACGACCACAGCGCCGAGTTGAAGAACTTTCTGTCTGGCGCCTCTTGCACCTGCTGCCTCTCAGCAGAATCTGTCCAGAGCAAATGCGTGTCGGCCCAGCCAGGCTTCTTACAGGCAAAAACTTGCCCAACTGCCCTCTATCATGTTCAAGGGGGTTCCTCCAAACCTCGCAATCCCGAGCCTGATAGCAAGTGAGTGAACGAGTACATAAGTGAGTGGTGCCTTGGAGTGAGCAAGTTATTTTGTGTGACTTTGATTGGGTCGGGAGAGTGTGCTTAGGTTTAGAACCCCCACTCACATGGAGAGGTGGCTTAAGCCACTTAAAAAAAGCTAAAATACAGCTAAAATGAAGCTAACATAAAGGTAAAAAAAAGCCAACATAAACCTGAAGTAAAGCTGCCAGAAAACTACCCGGAACCCAGGGGTTACGCAGGCAGGGGTAGTAGAAGTGATAATACGAATACTATTTAAAACAGCAATGGTAATGTTAGTAACAAGAATAATAGTAAGACGAGTAGCAGTAGTAGTAGTAGTAGTAATAATAGTAATAATCATAATGGCAATAGTAGTACCAATAATGAGAAACATAATAGTACAGGTGCTAGCGGCTAGCCGCCATCTTTGTTTAGCTTTTTTTCAGCTTTTCGCAGAAGCCGATTCAGAGCCCAGCTTTTTTAATCGGTTTTTTAGCTTTTGGGAATTGCAATTTTTAGGCCTAGCTTTTTTGTAGGTTTTTTCAGCTTTTGGGAATTGCAGTTGTTGGGCTTAGCTCTTTTTTAGCTTTGTTTTAGCTTTTTGCTAGCTTTTTTTGCTTTATTTCAGTTTTTTAAAGCTTTCTTTTAGCTTTTTTGCTTTTTCCTAGGGGAACCTGGAAAAAAGCTGGAAAGAAGCTACCTTGGGGGTGAGCGTCTGGGCCTTTAAATTTTCCGAAAATTTAGCGGCCCAGGGTTGCTCCCCCCCGCCCCCTTCCTACGGACCCGCCTCCGCCCGCCCCCGTCCCCCACCCCCCTTCCGCCCGCCCCGAACCCCGGCCCGCAACCCCCAAGACCCCCAGACTTCAAGGCTCTGCCGTGGATGATGTCCTGAATCTTTACAGGGCCTGCAGGGCCTACAATCTACTGCAGAAGCTTCAAATGAGGTTCATGATAGGTAGAAGTCATATGGAGCCTTTCACGAGTTTGCTACTACGGAAAGCACATTCATCCCAGAATGAAAGCTCAGTTTTGCCTCAGCTTTTGTTTAGCTTTTTTCAGGTTTTGGGAATTGGGGGGTTTGGCTTTTGTTTAGCTTTTATTCAGCTTTTTTCTGAAACTATTGCTCATGTCCTGTCCATTCAACGGAGGTTCTAAGCTTAGGTGACAGCAGGCACCTGCGATCAAGTGAGCGAGACTTAGTCCAGAGCGCATGCGCGAATGGGTGAAGGAAACTGGCGTCGCTGCAAGTGCATGGCATCACATAATTCACCCTCAAGCCGACTGCAGCTGCCCTCCATGGGCGAGGCAACCATCCTTGCGCAAATAATCGCACAGCCCGTTGCAGATCTTCAAAGAAATATTGCCAAGCAGGAAAGGAGTTTCTTCCATGGGCGAACACATGTCAAGCTGTTCAGGGACCCCTCGTAAAATCAAGCACCCGACAGAAAAAGTAGCTGCGAGACAAATGTGCCTCGAAAACGTGTGTGCCGGCGTAAGTGTTTATCGTAGCTAGTTTAGCGCACGCACAAACCTTCCCTCCAGCGCCCCTGCGGCGTCCAGCACCTGTAACTCCAGCTCTGCCAACCCGCCAGCAACCCTTATCAAGCACCCCTTCTGGGAACCAGCTGCTTGTTGTCAGGTTTCAGGAATGCATTGGTCTTCTTAGAGGCATATTCGCACAAGAGGCTTTTAGGCCATCTAGGTAAATGGAGTAGCTGGTTGAGGCTACGAGTGTGACGGATGGGCACTTCACAACTACGTCAAATGACGCCAATGGATGCAGGCCACAAGACGGAGTTGACCAAACATGGCCAAGCTGAACAGAAGCCAAACCTGTTGAAAACCGCCTGATGACACAACGTACGCAAATTGTCACAGCACCTGGAGGCAAGCTTTGCTCTGAGGCTCTGAGCTGTGCTGCAGAAGCCTCAGACGTATTGGCAGATATTGCAATCAAGGTGCATATCCTGCAGCAAAGGAAACGCTGCTTGCCAGCATCTTGCCCTGCGGGACACGCTCATCACCTTTGCGCGCTCCGCAGCACGCAATGACGGTGGGGTCTCAGACACGGGAGCCACACGAAACACAAAGCACTGTGGACCGCACGGCCACGTAGATTCCTCAGCACAGACACAGCACCTCACAAACAACGCTCCAGGCAAGCAACGAAAAGTGCTCGTGGAGGTGAAGATAGGCGAAGCCAAGTTTCCTGTCATCGTAACGGCCTCTTCTTTAGCCCTTCCCAACCACTGCAGGGCGCTGGACCACTCATCTTCTCTGCAGCACAAAGCTGCGCAACCTTGGGCGGCAGTACTGAGCTGGCGACATGCAAGCTATTGGAACTCCAGAGCTTGCAGATTCCAATCTTGCCGGGGCCAGCTCACTAGGAGTTGTCTGAGTCGTCTCAGTCTATAAGGCTCAAGGCAAGCAACGGAAAGTGTTTGCATCCGGCCGCAGCTTTGCCTGCCGCAAGTTGTAACGAGAAGAGACCCAGCAAAAAGATGCCAAGCATGCGGCCGAAGCACCGACACCACAAACTTGGAGAAGAGTTGCTGTGCTAGCTCGTGCCCGCGATTCTTGCAGGCAGACATCCTTTCTACAAATCACCGCTTGTCTGCATTATTGATGGCTATACGACACCCAATGCCAACAAGCGTCACACAGTTCACAAGAGGCAAGTCTAAAGCTACCTCCATCTCCACCAAGCCTACCAGGACGTTGAGGGCAGAATACCATGCGCCAGCATCTTTGAGAGCAGAGATTCCCACCATCAAGTCCTCGCATTCAACTTTACATATGAGGAGTCCCCACAAAAAAGATGCCACCAGGTCTCCTTTACGTTGCTGGTTAACGTGCCATCTGCATACAGCAGCCGTTCTGAAAGTGCTTCCTCGCATACGCAAAACGGATTCGCACTTCACACAAAGGACCTCGTGAAAGCCTTGTCAACTGTGGACCCTCGGCGCTTCAGCTGCGATATGAGCTCACGCCGCTCAGATGGTGACAGCCTGGCCACTCTGCAAATCGTGCCAACCAAGATGCTTGCGCCACGACCCCCTGCAATTCCTTGTGTAGACGGGTAACATTCTTGAGAGGAAGACGATGGCGCTGGCGAAACATGCTGGGCTGCTAGGCCCCCTAGCCCCCCAAAGGGCGATCCAGGAATGCCTGCATACAAACCAAGCTGCGCAGAAGTTCACTTTCCTTTAGATAACGATTTGTTGCTCCAGTGCATTCTAACGCTGCTTTTTCTCCACAGCTGGCTTCTGCTTCAGTGTCTCTGGCAGCCACCACACTGGGCCGTCCACGTACCCTTCTGGGGCCCCGAAGGCTTCTGACCTCAGGCCAGCATCAAACTGACAGCTACATCACGTCCTGGCAAACTTTCGGACAGGTTGACTAATGTTTATGCTCAATGTCTTTGTGCCTAGTAGGCTGGTTCTGTCAAGGGGCTGCTCCTTCTTGATGCGAACCAGCACCTCACCCTTGATGTGCTCACCTGAGCGCACCAACCACAAAGGGAAACAGAATCACTGCATATCTTTGCGCCAAAGACTTTCATCTAAACGACATGCTAATCATCTGCAACGGCTGACCGGCGAAGTGCGCCAATGCTGGCTGTGCTCTTGCGGCTTGCATCGCCAGAGCAAGATCATTCCGATGTAGGGAACCAAGCCTGCAAGCAGCCGGATGGAACCTCTACTGTTTTCCTGCAGCCCCATGAAACAAGGTGCCGGGCTGTTCGAATACCCACGGATTAGCCATCACGGCTGCCGTCCCAAACCTAAGCCAACGTTCCGTGCACAACACCTCAAACACGGGAATTTTGTCAAGCTGCTCAGCTCTTTGACGCAAGGAAGCCTCCACAAAGTGAACGGCCTGTGGTGCCTCAATTCAAAAGAGTTGTCCGTTCCATCTCACAGGACAAACTGAATTTCGTGCGCCTTCTGTATGGCTGTCAGGACAACCTTTCAGGCGACCAGTGCATGTACCAAAACAGATCGACCCTTGCCTCTGGGTGAGAGTGCCATCCGGCCGCAAAGCGCAGCACGTCACCATTGCGACGAACTGCACGCAACACAAACTCCTGAGATAGCAAGCATCCGCTCTTCTTCGGGTGATGAAGCCCACAACAACCAACGAATACTACAGTACTTCATATCCTGGCTGCCTAGCTGCCAAGCTGCCTAGCTTCTGCCCTCTCTATCCCTCACTGGCCGTCTGCCAAGGCATGCGGCCTATGCGCCCTTGTCCGTTTGGTCCTTCTTGCCAGTCTTTCAGAGGGTTTTAATAATCATGTCAAGAATTTGGCCAAGTCTCGGAGAACACAAAAAGGGGTTTCGGCGATTCGGACGCTATGAGATGACAGAAACTCCAACTTCAGCCCAACATTATCTTGGACGTGCGGAACTGCTGCAAATGCCAGTGCATAATCCCCCGCCCTATTCATGCCCCCAATGGCCCCAATATCACTCCAAGAGGAAACCTAAATTTCTTGAAGGCTACTCTAAGGGGGCCAATCATTGGCAAGATGGCAGGGAGTTAGGGAGGTGGAAATCCAGGTCATTTAGGTTCAACAGGATTTTAATCGGTGTTCTTGATTTCTGAAGCTATGGCGGGGCCTTGAGCGGAAATAGAACCCGGTGGTTAAGCTGGATCGCGGGCCCTAGCCACGTTTAAGACCAGTACTGCAGCAGGGAGGGACAAACTCGAGCTGCCCCCGAGCAATAATCGTGAGAGCCAACTTCACAATTGAAGGCGGCAAGGCCCTTCCCTGCAGCAAAGCAAGCTCTCTATAAAAAAGCTCCAGCCAGAAGCTTATTCCAATAGGCTTCCCTGCTAGAACGTCATGGCGAGTTTCCCGTGCACGATTTCGCCCGGCTTTCTCGTAGCATGAAACAGAGGTAAAAGCGCAGTCCCATTGCAAAGCCAAATGAAAAAATATTAGTAACGTCATCTAATACCAACCAAGCTCGCCCATGATCAGCGAAGTGTCCACCCTCAACAGCTGCCGTTGCCACAAACTAAAATCTTCCTTCAAATAGTTGACAGCGTCCAGCTCCTGATGCTAGTATATACATCAATCACTATGTGGGGCAGCTGAACGCGTCATCCACCAACCCCCGACGGCAAGTGAAGACCAATAGGCAGCACAGCATCCTGCCAGATACCGCGCCATCCCAACCTTCCACTGTTGAGGCACGAAACTTTGGACAAGGGATTCTCATCTTTGAAAACCTACAAAGGTTTCGCTGTCAATTGAGCGACATTCGGCTCAGATAGCCGCGATCTTGGATGACAAAGTCATGGCAGAGCTACCTGAAACACCAAACGTTTGTTCCCGTTCACTTGTTTAATTTGTCTTGTCTGCGGGTTAAGAAAGATCTCACCGGCCCCGAACCGATGCGCACACCCCAACATTCTCAGTCCTTGCTGAGGAGCGCTTCCGATGTGTTCGACTTGCCCACCATCCTCATGCTCATCCCTGGGCACTGCCTCCTCTGCTTGAGATGGCTGGCGACACACCCAGGGAACTGCGCACCACTGTCCAATGTGGCATGCATATTCGCGGAGCCTCGACAAGCACCAGGACAGCCCCCACAGCGGAGCTGACCGTGGTGGACACGCCGGCCTCTACTTCATCCAGAAAGTTCTGGCGTGATTGTTGTGGAGATCTGTGGACCCGGAGATCAAGGAGCTCTGTGGGGAAGAAGGCTCCGAAAAGTTAAGGAAGGAGAGGAAGTGCATCCAAGGAAGCGCATCCCAGGAACTGCCTGCGAGAACCGCCGGGACGCAGAGCAGCACGCTGCACCTGCGCAAACTCATTTTGGAGATGTGATGTTCCGTCTCCTGCGATTCTCGACTACATCCGTGGCAAGTTTCCCGTAGTCGGTGCAAGAACCGGCGGGCGCATACAAGAACGGCCGACCGAGAAGCCCCTCATCAACCGGAAGGAGATGGGGGAACCAGCAGCGAAGAGAGCCTGCGAACGACATGGCGCGCAAAAAATAGCTGCGCTCAGGGTCAGCTAGGCAGGAGACCCTGCGACCTCAGGGGAAGCGGACGTGGATGTGGAGCTGGACCACCTCGACGTAAGACATGCGACCCCCACCCACGACTTCTCTCGCCGCATCAAACCCCCTCAGCATCATACGCCCTGCGCTGCCTCAACGCAAGCTACCAAATCGCTCTCAGGAGTGGTCGACTGTACTAGCAGCTCAGCAGCTCTGTTTTACTTCGGCACACATCATGTGAACCGTGCAGCTTGCAAAACACCAGGAGTTCCCTCCATGGTAGCTTCCAGGGTGGTTGCGCTTCAGATGCGGCTACCTGAGTCATTCTTTCAGTTCCTTTCGATGCCTGGCCACACATGTACGAAGAAACAGCTCCGCACTCAGGCGTCCCGGAGAAAATGCAGTACAATGTCTGCGCTACACGTATATCATCTGGAAAGCATTTCCTGCTATGCAGGCTATCTCTTGTTCAGCTACTGTAATCATTTTGTGAATCAAGGACCGAAAAGATTGAAGCTAAATTTCCCTGGCAGGGCGTCTTGGTTTGCAGGACTTCCTGTCCAAGACAACGCCAAGGGTCTTGTGAGCTTCGCAGCTCTGGCGGTAAGTGTGCGAAAACGGCCGGGAAGGCAGACAGCAGCTCCCCCGCAAAGGACGAGTTCTTTTGCAGCTCCTGACCCCGGAGGTGCTGTCGGAGGAGCGGCACTACATGCAGATCTAAAGTTGTATTTGGAAGGAATCGCACGTTGAAGACGCTTTGCTAACTCTTGTCCAGCTGTCACTTTATAGTGGGCTCTTCTCCAACAGCTGGAGATCTCTCAACATCTGTCAACGAAATCGTTACAAACTTTTCCCAAGCCCATAGCAAGCTTTCTGCCACGGAGTCACTCCCGTAGTCTTTCAACACTGAACATCACGGCAAAACAGGAGCCCATGTACTAAACTGCACTCTCACCGATGTCCTCGGTCACACATCCAGCAGCTCGCGCTGAAACACGTACAGCTGTCACGATGAAGTCGTGATCTTTTCGCAGCAGGTCGCTCGCGAACTCCAATGCCATGGGGCACTCGCGAATGGCTGCCAAAACAACGTCACCTTCAGAGCCGACTATAGCACCACAGTGAGAGTCAGTGAGAGCATCTGACTGCAGACGAGCGACGGTCGGCACGCATCGATGGTGTGGCATGCCGCAACGAAAGCCCATTCCGTTTGACAGCCTCCGTCACAATGTCCTCAGTCACACAAGAGGTCGCGTTGCGATATCCCCTGACTTCACGGACTCAAGTTGCTCGCGCACCTTATCGCCACGCAGCGCGACGGATGCCTCGTCTCGTCCGCACTTGTACTTGTTCCAAATGTATACCCGCCTAGCTTCCCACTGAGCCGCGAGCATGAGCCAGCGCCCGGCCTTGACTTGCATGCACCGCTGCGAGCACGAGGCATCGATCACCACGGGCACCTCTGCAAGGCACTAACCTTCAAGTCCTGGGCGCCGGGCTGAACACGCGCCGCACCATCATCCAAATCCTCAAGTTGAACCTCTCCGGCCGCAATGTGCTCCAGCAATCCTTTGCCGAAGGATTCGGTGGACAGCAAGATTTTCCAGTTCAGGGTCTGCTCCCATCGTATACAAATGCATTTTCAGGGCTATGCATGGCCAGTAGGGCACACCCACCAGAAAAACAGATGCACACAACCACGACTTTGGCCAGGCCATGTCTCCAGCCCAAACAGGAGGTGACCGGATAAGGCTGAGCACAGGATTGGTGCAGTCTATGACATCTGCAAGGATGGAGTCATCTTGTGCAACCTCCAACCGCCAAATATTCTTTCACATGCAACTGCACGTGACTGCTTGAGCCTTGCCATCGGCTCCAAGCAGCTTCTGCGCGTTCAGCTTTGTCCCTTCCACGTGCTCAATCCGCTCCTAGCCATGCATGGTCTGTCGTGAAAAACATTTCGAACTCATTGATTCAATCGGCAAGTGCGGCTCCTTGATATCCCATATGGTGGTGCTCATGGCGACATTGAGCAACTTGCACAGCTCTCCACCAGTCATAGCCTAGCATCACCATCACCACAGTCACCACCACGGCCACCGCAAACATCGCGACAAAAGAAAAAAGGCACTGCTCACGCAATGCTTTTGATCGACCTCAAGCGGGATACGCATCGAAACAAACGAACGCAAGTTTGCAGCGTGAAGTAGTCGTCGGTGTTCGAGCGCCGCGCAGAGCGGTTTTACATGGGATTTGCTAGGTGCGGCTGGGGATGCCACTTCTTCTGATGGCTTGGCAATTGTTGACAATGAGTTCAACAACTCACATGAGCGGCAAAGGGCCTCCAAGCATCTTGGCTGGGAAACATGCAGGTGCCTGGTAAGGATTTATGCTAGCCTTTTTCCTGGGACAGGCGGACGTAACTTGGTCATTCCTTCTCCCACTTGCCACAAGATGACCTTCGCGCAACTTGCAGAATAGAAGCAGCAACAACTTGCAGCGTCACCATACCCTCCGAGAGCCTTGGCATCAGCATCAGATCACTCCGCGCAGATGTTCAAGTCTCATGACCCGGCCTTTGCTTCGGCTGCATGTCTGGAGACACCGCCACTCCTGCCGGTCGGCAAATTTCCTCCTCATCGAGCTCGTCAAAATCAAAATACCTGAGACAGCCAGCCTCCAACTACATGGAATCAAGAACGCAATGTTGATTTGGCTGGACTAGACCAGTCTGTCCAGAGAAGGACACTTGACAGCTTGCTGTCTGGGAAAGATTCTGGATTGACAAGGGGCAGCGATGGTTTCTGTGACCACAACGATCCAGCACCAACTTGGAGAGGAGTATTGTTTTCAAGGACCAGCTGCGCGCCTCGGAGGAGAGAAACATGTTTTCACTTTCAAACTCTGCAAGGAAACAAGCGCATCGCGGTCTTCTTAAGATGAAGCTCAAACTTGACAATGAGCGCTGCAACCAATACCGGATGGCTTCCCGAGCGAGCGCTTCAGCAGTTCGAGAGCCGGTTGCAGCTTACCAGCTGCACCATCAACCATTTGCCATGTCAGTGGTGGCTCATGTACATACACCGTGCATCCTGCTGGCACAAAATCCATCAGCCACTGGACTTTTGTTGTGTTGTGAATATCCATTTGACTGTGTATATTCCAGCAATGGCCCCTCCGGAACAGAAAACATTCAAGGCGCGCAACAAGCATCTGGGACGCGGCTGAGAGCGTTCAACTCCCCAACCTTTTTCCAAATCTGCCAGATCTTTGCACCATCGGCAAACAGTTTCATTTGCTGTTGGAGGCTCTAGCGGTGACACATTATCGCTCATGTGGTAGATATCTGATTCACTATCTGTCCTGCTAACCGTCTCTCAATGTGAAGGCCAGCTGCCTTCCACCTCTCCGTTAGAACGTTCTCCCACTCCTGTCCAGCAAAACAAGCATGATCCTGCTGCCAAACCTTCCTGCCAAGCCTCCTTCAACTCGGGCCCGACATAGGGAAGAGCTTCCTCAAGCCCCAGCTGTGTGAAAGCACAAAACTCATGCAATTCAAGCCCTGAACTCAGCCAGCCAAGATTCTGTTGTGTTCTCAATTGCAGCATCCACCACATCTTTATCATCGCGCATTCTCTCGGACACGTATTTCAAAGCTCGCCCACTCTGCTGCACAGCAGCCAAGCACACGTCCTGCGTAAACTCACCCTAAAATTTGAGCTGTACTTGCCACTGCATTGTCAGAGCTGATTGTGGCGCAAGCTAGTGTTGCTCCTTGTCGTCACGAAGCTGATCTGCAGCATGTCGTAGTGCTTGTCCACACTGACTGACTGCCACAAGGACCTGGAATCACAGGGCGCGCACGTTTCAAAAGGCATCGCCAGACATCAACATCCCAAAAAAATCTTGTATAGTCCGCGTCTGTCCCCTCACACATGTGCCCTCTTTTTGACAGGCCCCTTCGCGCTTGAGATTGCAACATCTTAAATAGTGAGAACTCATACTGCACGGTCGACCTGGATCTAAACTCTAGCGGCTCTGTTTTGCTGCTACCGTCAAGGTTCACATCGCTCGGGGTTGGCTGCTCACTCTGCCTTGTGGCGCCACTGAAACCAGTGGCGTCAAGCTGACGGCTTGGGTTCTTCCAAAGCTTACCTGTTTCTTGCCGCTCTCTGTCTGAAGAGCTCCGTGTCCGGGAACACGTCCACAACCTATCCCCGCCCACACACTCAACCCGACCTGGTTTTGCTTTGCGTTTCGCATCCAAGTGTGCGGGAAACAATGCGAATGCAAGCCTGCAAGGTGAGCTGGGCAAAATTCATAAGGCCTCTCCAACATGTTGAGTTCCGGTCTCGTTCAAACCATGACTCCCAGGTCCAGGATATTTTTTCCTGGACCGGTTTCATCTCCTCGCAACACATAATCAACGTGGTGCCTCCTGTGGTCCTCCAGACATGCAAAGCATGCAATGCTCAGGTCGACAGTTTGCATTTTGCGGATGCAACAAATTTGCCCTACGCATCTTGCTGGTCCAGCGGCAACTTCTTTGTCAACAGCCAAGTGCTCAGCAGCCAGGCCTGCCCATGCTAAGCATGACCCATGTTGGCGACAAATCTTCCAGCAAGCCGAAGCACGCAAAGCAGTTCCATCTTGGCGTACCGCTGCAAGCACCACATCCTGAGGTGAACCAAACCAAAAAAACACGATGCAAAACCGGCCGATCAAACCGAAGATCCACCCTGAAGAATCCTTGTCGCGCTGCATGGCTTCTGACACAAACATCAGAGCCGTGCCATCAGCAGCCACTGCTTTCAGAGCTACCTGTGTTTCAGCATGCGCGATCCTAAACTTTCATGAGTCTTAAAATACACCTCCTTCTGATCTTTGAGAACAGGCGTTGCATGAATCAAAGCTCGACCATCTTTCTCGACCGCATGGCCTACCTCGGCAAACCACAAATCTACATGCGTCCCAAGAAACACAATCTGAGCACGCTGCAGTACCTTGCGAATCAGGGTTGTTCAACACCTGGCTGCGTAATTACCGCATCCAATATGACAGGCTACCGGACCGTCTGTCCCGGCCTCAACAGCTGCGGCTCCCCACAAGGCAAGATTTGCCCCAGGTTTCAGCAGCTCATTTTCTTCCTTCATACCAAAACACGCACATGAACGATTCAGGCTAGGCGTGATGGCATCCTGTCTGCAACAAATCGTTTGCCTCTGTATCTTCCCCAGGATCAGCCATTCAATTCGCGCGGTCGCACTGGCAATTGCGCACCATCATTGGTCACAAGAGGCTGCAATGTTTTTCCATACCTTGACTGTCCTCCACTTCACAACAACATTCAAACCCAGTGAGAACCCACAGGATGAGTGATCTGATGGTTCACCTTTGAGGCCTCATCCACGCGAAAAGCCATGGATCCAGAAGTTATTGAATTTTAAATCATGATTTAATGGTTCTCCTTAGGTACCTTGATCAACCTACCTTTGTGACAATTAAATCAGGATTTAATATGTCTGGTGTATTATGGAAACAGAATTCTTCAAAATCCTG